ACTGTAAACTGCTCATGTCCACCGCTAAAAACCGTCTTTTCTGTGTTCTCTTCGTTTACCTCCACTTGCCAATAACCACTTTTCAAATCAAGTTTTGAGAACCATTTTCCAATCATCATCCAAGCTTCTATAGTCCACACAGATGCCATCTTCTTCACAAGTACTACAGGTGAGCTCCATGGACTCTCTGATGGTTCTATTACGCCGCTTTCGCTCATTTCACGTATGGTTTGGCTTACAACTTCACGTTTTGCTAAAGGAACGCTTTGAGGAGCCTGGCGGATTGGTCTTGCATCACAACTTTGGTTTTTCCGGGTTTGACATCGTCTTTATCAAATATGGATAAGTATCTGAGGAGAAGTTGTTTAGCCTTATTTTGATGGTTTGCCTCTAGTTCCTCGATTCATGCGTTTATTTTGATCGATATGTCGTTTTCGTCCATTGAACTTTCCTCAATACCCATTTGGCAATTTATCACGGGCCAAAATCTCTTGAGACTGCCATATAGAGCTCTTTTAGAGAGTTTGATTTTTAACTTTCACTCATTAAGTACTTTTACTTCAACACGTTTATCTTGTCTTGTCATAGCCAGGGTTTTGCCTATAAGTAAGTTTGGTGTAGATTCTTTTGTGGCCTCAACAATCCACCACTTGTTTGGCCCATAGTGTCCATCTATAACTGCTTCTGATTTTGGTGGAATCTGCTGGCTCTCTGTTGTTATCACTCGTTGTACTTATTATCGTAACCGAACAAAACCGCTCTTCCGAAATCTCACACCTCAGGTATTTGTGAGGTCACCTGTGTTGATATTCGTGCTAGTTGCTTCTTGTAGTTTATCGTCGTTTCTGATTTGTTTTGGTATTCGTGTTCGCCACAATTTAATAAAACAAAACATACGGACGAATAGAAAATCCATTAGAAAAAGGCTGCGTACAAGGTACATAAGTCAAATAAAGTCATTCTTCCTACAAATTCTTCTTAAAATTTAATAGGAAGTTGGATATCCCCGACGTTTTAAAACTTCCGCTAAGGGTTTTGGCATGGAATATATTATATAATACAAGCTTAGAGGTTTCCGTCGAAGAGAGGTGAGCACAACCTTTGAGGTAATTGTGGAGATTTTACGTACTATTGAATCTCATAAGCGCTATTTAGGACTAAATTCTAGTGATTCTGGTGGTATTTTAAGGTGATTTGGAACGTTTTAGAGTAACTATAGCTTAACTATGTCTTCTGTATGCTTCGGGTCGTTGTCCCGGAGAAAATAGCAGTCACTTCCAAGACCCAATTCTTCCGCACTTTGCTTAAAATTTATTTTTAAGATATTAAGGTATGTATATTTAACCATGGTGCACTCTATAACTTCCATTTGGCGCACACAGTTAGCACTAGCTATGCACCCCCATATCATTGCTTCTTCACCACCGTTCTTCACAGTAGGCATCAAGATTTCCTTATAGAGGGCCGTGCCCGTTTTTCACTTTTAAAGCCTACGCCCTTACATCCCAAAGACGCAAAACTTTTTCTCATCGGAAAAAATAACTTTCTGCCAAAACCTCCGGTTATTTAAGTGCTCTTTTTACCTATTGATTAGCGATATGAATGAGTTCTGGTGTGCGACTTGACCATAAAACCCTGTTTCTTTTTAAATTTTACGAATGGTGTCAGTGCAGAGGGGTTTCTTAAAATTCTTTTGCTCGATTTTGGATGCAGTAAATCAAAGGTTTTGCTTCACACTTTACGAGTTTCACGCTGTGCTAGTATTTTTGACCGCCCTGGACGCGCCGACATACAAAAACGCTGGTGTGTTTGCAATATTTTTATAACTCTTTGTATGAAAGAAAGTGTTCTTTTTTTTATTCATTATTTCCCTTTCAGAAGGGCTTATTTCTTTTCTTTTAGGCGAGATTTGATATTCTAAATTTTATAACAAAATGAATAGAACAAAAATATTTTAAAATTGCTACTTTTACAAAAAAAGGAAAACTATAACTTTCCGACACTTTTACATTTGGTTATTACGTAGGGAATTCCCATTTCACTCCTTGTACGCAGACTTCTTCTGCGCTGCCAATTTTATAATTTTCACGAGCTCCTTCGTTGTTGGACCGAAACTATACATTTCCCATATTTTTGTATATAAGTTTTAAGCATTACTGCCCATTGCATGCACAATTTACATGTATTTTATTCATTATTATTATATTAAACCAGAGAACTTAAAACAATGAGAAGGTGCAGGTTCGACAGCGAGCAATTTGTAGGAATTTATCAAGGAGTTCACCACAGATGCACGAGAAACAAATAACATTTTTCGCTTTTATAACAGCGGTGAATCTGTACACATACGCTTTCTTAACATAACCAACCGACGAATATTGAAGAGAATATAATATGTGAGCAAAACTGGGCATATTGATATGCCATTTGAAATATATTCCCTTTTATTGAACTATTATTTATTATTTTTTAAATTATTTTATGTTAATTCATTTTTACTTTATTATGAGAAATATATCAAAATACTTTTAAATTATTACTAATAAAGTATTTTGATATATTTCTTAAAATAATTCATTAATTGTACTTGACACCATTATGGAGTCATAAAAGTACAGAATTGTGTTTTGCCGTCGGTATTTCACATTCATGCTTCAATTTTTCTTTTCAAATGCATGTGTAAACATATGTAACAGGACATACATATATTATGTCGTTTACACATTTGTATGTATTTTTATGTAGATATGTACACTCATTACTTCATGTGAAATCTCCGTTGACACATTTTTTGCTTTTATGTCAAAGAGTCAATCTGTCGAAGAACTGACGCGACGACAAAGCGTCACAACATTGTGTTGTTGGTAGAAAATCCGAGATGTGCCATACACACTCTTACAAACATACATCGCATATGGGCAAGTGCAAAGTCAATGTGTGTACAAAAAATTCGAACGTACTTACGTAAATTCTTTGACAAATACAGTCAATCCCAGTTAAGTGCCAAAACCAAAGATGCAGATTTTTTGTGCTTTGTAGTACATAAGCGATTGTGGTACTTAAGCGAGTGGTACCAAAAAAAATTATTTCTATGTATTTAAAAAAAAAATTACCGTTTTCTTTAAAAAATTAAGAAAAAAAAGTGAGATGCAGCAAGACACCGGCAGATAAGAGGGATTGGAGGAGTGATACTTAACCGGGGTTTACTGTATACATAAATCAGAGGAATATTGAATATTTTCTTTAAAAAGTTTCTTGAATTGTAAATCGACAAATTTACTATGTTGTCACTTTTATTCTAAAATATTTTAATACTCATATTTGAGGGGTTGTCACTTTTCCCTTCTAGAGGGAATATCAGAAATTTGTTCAATTTATGATTTTTAGCTTTTGCCATCGTCGCGAAAAGACGCTTGTAGGCAAACGCATGCTCGGGGAGATGTGTAAGGCGTTTGCTTTTATGAATGAAACGACTTAGCTTATTGCTTGTGCGCCAGCGTTTATGAATGAAAATGTTGTTGGTGTGTGATTTATTACAAATTTAGGATTTGTCAATTTGGCTGCCATATTGATTTCTGGTGCTGATGCTATTTGAGACAATTGTTGTTTTTGTACAACAATGTTTGTATTTTTCCTATTGGCTGACGTACTTACATTTGTACGCTTAAATGTATGTAGATTTGTGTATGCATTACTTATATTTGCGCTTATACTTACATATAGAGCAGTGCGCTCACATGTATTTATTGATAATTGATAATATATTATTATATTATATAATATAACATACATAAATTATTAATTCTGTAAAAATTGAAATTAGAAAATTTTGAAAATAGTAAAATATCATTTTTTGCATAATCTTTCACATTTTATCAATGTAGCATTTGTGCAAAAAAATAATAATTTATCAATTTTTCATCATAAAAATCGTTTATATGGCAAAAAATAATCATGCATATGTGAAGTGGCATTTGTATTTCTTGTTTTCTCATTCATTTCATTTCATTTTTCTCTTTATATTGGTAGATACGTATTTTGTCAGAGAACGTTGTTAAAAATTCTAATTTCTATTAAATAACAGCAAAACTATACAGAAAGTGGTGAACTCCTTGATCTCAAATTTTCAGCCAACCAATCGAGCATCATACAAAATTCAATTTGCACCTTCTCGTTGTTTTACGTTCTCTGGTTGTACTACGTGTTTCTCGACTTCCAAATCTGCAATAATAAAAGTTTTAGTTATAAAAACAAAACACAAATCAGAAAGCTTGCCTTTTGTTTTCTTGTTTTCAATTATTTTCAATCACCGTTAGGGATTTTCTGGAAAATTTCCTTTTCTAACTCAATAAATTCAGAACTAATTTCTTTAATTTTGTTAAAAAGAATGTCTAAACGCCGCACATAGAAATATTGTAAATCTGAAGTCGAATTGATCGGAGGCGTGTAATCCTGCGAAAAGCGATCTGTCCGTGGTAAACGAATCGAAAAAAGAAAGGAACGGGGTCCTTCGTGAGTCCCTTTTATTCCATTTAGTGTGGTGTACAATATGATGTCTTCATGGGTGGTATGATCGTGGTGGTGTTGTATTTGTGTGCGTGCTGATGTATGGTAAGTAGGTGTGGTGATGGGGATGTAAGTAGATGCGGTGAATGTGGTGTGTGTGGCAGTGTCTTATGGTGAGGGGGGACTGAGACTCATTTAGCCACCTTTTTTTTTAATTTCGGGTAAATTTTAGAATAGCATCCCCCGAATTCGGGATTAAAATGTATGTATGTATGATATGTACGGGTAGAGGAAGCTCTACAGATTAAGAAACTATATACGTTTAATTGCCGCTGACTTATGGTTTTAGAGATATTTGCATCTAAATGTATATATTCTCTTAATCTGGAAAACCTCCTCTGTTCATTTATTGTAGATTGCGCTCTCATAAGATAGGTCGTATCAGCTGATTCGGTCCACGGTTTTGCGTCAGTGACTGTTTGAACTATTAGTTATATGAGATATCTCCGTCTTGCAGGGATGTACATTGCCTTCGATGATGGGTTGTTATATACAAACCTTTTGTTTTAAAAGTTTTGAGTTGTGAAAATAAAAATTCTGCTGGCTGGTTTTCTAATGTTGATATGATATGATCATTAAAACAACATTTTGATATATTCCTAATTTCTGCTAGTTTTCCATTTCTTTATTTATTCGTTATTTCGCTCTTCGTGAGAGTAACTTACAATCTTCTTCTTCCTGATGGCTAGCAGCTACTAGCACTTAAGAAAGAGACCTATTTAATGTTGACATTTGGTGTTTTTATTTATATTATATATTTTTGAAAGACGAAGTTGAAAAACTTGTTACGCCAAGGAAAAGTAGATTTTGTGCATTACTTTTGCTTTGTTTAATTTTCACAAAATAAAACTTTTTGAAATACTGAAGGATGTTGTTTTAATTCAATAAAAACTCAAAATAACAAATTCCTCCAAATTAAAAATCTATGGAGAAAAATTGTGACTTATATAAAATATCTGAAGTGAATAACTGTGACGATGATGATAATTTTTGCAATACAAACAAAAGTAACAAATTAAAATGGTGGTCAGTACCCGAGCCAATATTATTTCGAATATACTGGATGCTACCAATAAAGGACTTATTGAATGCAGGAGCGACTTGTAAACGATGGTTTACCCTCTCAAATGACGAACTTATGTGGAAACAGAAATTTTTACTTCATTATAAAGTGGATGCTACAGTAGGACTCAAACCAGGTATACAAACAGCAAAATGTAAAAAAACTGTCGGTATACATAAAAATCCTAATTTTTAAATCAAGAACTTTATGTGTTTTTTTAGCAAAACTCACACTTTGTGTATAATAGTTGAATTTTATCTTGTAGGAGCTGAATCATGGAAGAGTGAATATAAACGTTTAAACTGGAATATACCATTAGTTCAAGCACAGCGCCTTGAAGGCCATACACATCAAGTGCTTCATGTCAGCTTTTCACACAATGGGGAAATGTTTGCCACTTGTTCAAAAGATGGTTACGTAATCGTACGTAGCTCTTTTGTGTTGTAATATAAATATCTAAAATTCGAAAATTTCCTACATATAATTTTTATATCTACTTATATATAATTTTTCTTTGTATCTGGAAGGTCTGGAATTCAGTTCATCCTTGCACAGAGAAGTATTCGCACAACATGAAGCAGTTTAGTTGGAAATATACTCAATATTCCCAATTTAATCAAAGTGATACCCTTCTTCTCGTATCTGGTGTACATTTCGGATCTCCAATAAGTACATCTGGAGAAATCGCAGTGTTCACTGTGGACGGAAAAGGTTTATATTTTTGCTATATTTTATGTTTTTATTTTGACGAATTTGTTTAATAGATGGATCCCGTTTACGTTGCCGTGTAGTAAATCGCCCATATGACATATTTGGGACATGGTTCAGTGACCAATATCTAATATCTGGAGATTTACATTGGCTAGCTCATCTGCTAAGTTATTCTGAACTATGGTTAAATAAGGCCAATCAGGAAATTGATTCGGAGCATGTACCTATTATGAATAAATTGTATAAGTTTTATAACAAAAATGCTAGTTCTGTACGGGCTTTAATGGTAGCTAAGTGTCCGTGGTTAGATAACTCAAATGACCCTTTGGCCGAAGAACTTAGCAGCTCAAAGCAGTCTTTTGGCGAAGTACCAGTTTTAAATGAAACGGAACCAACACCAACAACTTCTGCAGGAAATCCACTTTCTCATGCAGCCACATTACGAAGATCACAACGTAGTGCTACACCCGAGTATCTATTAGACATACTTCAACAAAGTGTATCTACTTCCACGAACACTATTACTTCATTTGGAAATATTTCAAATCATAACGACTCCACTATTCGTTATTTAGACGAATTTCGGCGTGAATATCCTACCGATAATGAAGGGCACACATCGGAAGAATCTGATGATGATATGGATTTTACTGATGACAACGAGGATGAAATGGAGAACTCTGTACCCAAATACTTAATATTTTCAACTGGATCGAAAACTTATACACCACACCAAATTGGAATTAAACGTATACGAAATGTAACATTTCCAAAAAAACTTGATCCCGGACCTTCACTAAAAGAAAGAATTGCCGCAAAAAAGGCGGCCGAAAGAGAGGTACTTGTACAATTATTTCATATTTGTTAAAACTGTTAAGGCATAAATTTTAGAATCAATTACGAGCTGATCCTGATTGGTGGAATTATGACTCCATTGCTCATTTATTTGACACTGTAGACAAAGTAATAGACTTACATGGACACATTATTGGTATGGCGTTAAGTCCTGATCATCGTTATTTATATGTCAATACCAGACCGTGGCCAAAAAATTATGTGATAACTAACGCGCTAGAACCACCTCCAATTGCGCAGGAAATAGACATTCACGTTATTGATTTAATGTCCTTGAAACGAGTGGGTAACATGTTACGTGCTCATAAAGCTTATACTCCAAGTACAGAGTGTTTTTTCATATTTCTCGACGTATGTGAAGATTATGTCGGCAGGTATAATCATAACATAACCGAACAATATCAAACAAAATAATTTACTTTTGATCTACCTTAATTTTAGTGGCGCGGAAGATATGCACGCATATCTTTGGGATCGATATTATGGCATATGCCTTGCGAAATATAGACATGCTGATGTGGTAAATAGCGTTGCATTCAATTCTCGGGACTCGCAAATGCTCGTAACTACCAGTGATGATTACACCATTAAGGTTTTTTTCTTTTATAACTAAAATTGTTAATGAAAAAATAAATGTCATATCTTAGATTTGGCGTTCACGAGCAAAGGCAAAAGAATTCAACATCAAATCAAGAAATCATAATGAAGCTTTTGAATTAAAAAAACGGTTTATATAACGCTCAATGGAAAAGGATGATTATCCGTAAGTACTTACGTTTGGATAAATGAATTCTAAAAATAATTCCTTTAGCACATGAAAATGCTTGAAAGGCAGATTTAAAAAAATATTGTTCCAAAAATAGATTTGATCTAAGATAGTATAATCTTTTTCGAAGTATTCTCATTATAAAGTTTTAGAGGATATATAAATGCATGGGTTTCTATTATATTAAATATATGGAACAGAAATTATGAAATAAGTTTGTTGATACATTTTGCATGTTTATTTATGTTATATATATTAAAGGATGTCACTTAATAAGTTTGTAATAGGTTATGAAAAGATGTAAAATGGTAAATTTTTGGTTCAAATTATGAATGTAACAGAGGTGCAAATAAACCAATAATGGAAAAAAAATTAAGTATGTTTCATATTCTTTCTTTATCATAAAATTAGGTAAACGAACCGGAGGATACAATTTATTTAAAAAAAAAAAACACCTAATTTGGGATTTACAAAGAAATATGGGCTATAATTATGTAACAAAATTAGCATGAAAATCCTGCAATTGGTTCTCGTTAAAATTGTGTAACTTATCGTCAATTATGTATAAGTTGGGAGCCATTGTCATCTTGTGGTTGATGTATTTCAGTAATATCTATTTCAGACTCTCTGTTCTCATTACTGTTATTTTCGGTGTCATCTTTAACGTAATCATGGCTTTTATTTGTATTTCTCCGCCGCTTTTCAGGATGCCCAAAACAGTGTTCACACTCCTCATCGTCAGAAGAGGAGCTTTCTCCAAAGTTTACAGGCTTTTTATATATGCAGCAGCCTAAGTAAAGAAAATCATTAAAACCGAATTCGGTGATAAAACCGGTATAGGTGGATAAAGCATGATCTCCAGATTAAGAATATAAAGACATAAGGCCGCAGGAGACTTATAGTTTTCGAGATATTCAAGCTTATATTCGGAAAACTTATAAATTAAAGTATGTGATTTATTTTTCTATGTTTTATGAATTTTACGCTTATATTATATCCCCTAACGTATCTTGCACAAAAAGATTTTAACAGATTTATTTAATCATAAATAGTGCACAAATAGTTTCAAATCGTAATTAAACGTATACGATAAGTTTTCTTAAATATTACTTATTTACACAATAACAAAACAGTTGCATGCAAACAAATAAGTGTTACCATACCCATATTTTGCAAATGAATAAAAATAAATGGAATGGAAAAGATGAAACCGAAAAATTTAATTGTTATAAACAGAGTTATACCCTCCATGACATTATTAGTCGCTGGTCGATGCTCCCTGTGTTCATAGTTCTTTCATGTCGAACTACTTTCTGCATTGGGGGCCTTCGGCCGCATTTAAAAAAAATAACCCTGGTCTACCCAACACAGGGGTGTTTCAGAGTTTTTTTGCGTCGTACTACTTATTGCATTGGCGGCCATCATCCGCGCTTTAAAGCGCCAACATCCAACATCGAGGTGCCCAGAGGTATTTCGAGTCGAACTACTTTCTGCATTTGCGGCCTTCGGCTGCGCTGCGAAAGAATTACCCTGGTTGATACAACAAGATTTATCAATCAAAGGGAAATACTGAAAGATTTTACATGAGCCACCACACGATTACGGATGCTGTATTTGCGGCAAAATCTTTCTCTTTTTTATTTTTGTTCATTTGTAAAATATGGGTATGGTAACACTTATTATTTGTTTGCCTGAAAGCGTTTTCTTATTGTGTAAATAAGTAAAATTTAAATTTCAATTTAAAACTTTAATTACGATTTAGAACTAATTAAACTTATAAATGTGTTAAAACTATTTAAAGTTGTGTTAGTGGAAAGAGCGTAAAATTCATAAAACTTAGAAAAATTACATACTTTAATTTGTGAGTTTTCCGAATTTAAGAATAAATATCTTAATCTGGAGAACATGCACCATCCACCCATACCCATTTTATCCTCCAATTCGGGGGATGCTATACTAAAGCTCAGCCAATTTTGTGCTCACATTTGGATTTTTTTTTTCCCATGTCTTCATTATCAATGGTACCCTCACGCCAGGCAACTTGTCTGTCCGGTTTGGGCTTTTTTAAACGAAGACGGAGTACTGGAGCTGACTGATTAAAACACATCAATTATTATAAGAACAGTATTTGGTTTTGCTCACTTACATTAACTGTATCATCCAAACCCGCTGTATTGTCTACCACTACAACTTCAGTGGCCGAGTCTCGCAATGGAACAGTATCCATTCTATTTTTCTTATAATTATACGCTATACGTATTTTTGGAAATTGATTAACTATTCATTACAATAAATTCCAAACAATCTGCGCCATTAATCAATGAATAAATTTAATTAATTTATGCTACCTGATTTGACATTCCAAAAGTTTATAAGTGGTTGCCACATGTCCATTAATTAAAAATGTTTTTAACATATGTCTTCGACGTACTAATTATTAGTTGCAAGTTGGGAGTAAATAAAATATCCAGTTCATGTTTGTCAACTGCGAAATTTTAGAAAACAAACTTAATGATATATTTTAGTACTTTTTTTTTTTGAATTCGAGCTCTTCTATATTAGCTTTTACACCATTCTCGATAGATGTCGCTATTTATAAATTCAGCTGTCATAAGTGGTAAAAGTAATTATATAGAACATATAATAATGAAAATGGCAGGAGCCCTGGTGAGGAAAAATTTTTTTCAAAGACAACCATTCGGTGAGTATTCGCAAATTATATTTTTATTAAAAACGTTAATAGTAGATCCAGATGACAGTGGTAAATTCAAAATAGCTATTTATTGTTAAGCTGTGAGTATCGATTATTCACAAAGTAATTATGTAATTCAAACGAAAAAAAAAAACAAATCTGAAAAACAAATAAAAAGATTGCAATTTGTAAAACATAGTTTTATATTCAGTAGGTGCCAGTTTGCCTCTGGTGGCACAACGACGGTTGCAAGGCACTGCAGTACCGCCTCCAGGAACACCACCTCCTCAAACGAAAACCAAATTTGGACCTCTAGCCGATCAAGACCGTGTTTTTACGAATTTGTATGGTCGACATGACTGGCGTTTAAAAGGTGCATTAAAACGTGGGGATTGGTACAAAACCAAGGAAATCCTTTTAAAGGGTTCTGACTGGATCATCAATGAACTTAAAACTTCTGGCCTTCGTGGCCGCGGCGGTGCAGGTTTTCCTTCTGGTATGAAATGGTCATTTATGAACAAACCATCTGATGGACGTCCAAAATATTTAGTTGTAAATGCTGATGAAGGTATAAACATATATACATGGTATATGAGCGAAAAGGTCTATTTTTACTTACTATATTTCAGGTGAACCAGGAACTTGTAAAGATCGTGAAATTATGAGACATGACCCTCATAAGTTAGTAGAAGGATGCTTAGTGGCTGGTAAAGCAATGGGTGCGAGAGCTGCTTATATATATATTCGGGGTGAATTTTACAACGAGGCTTCTAATATGCAACTAGCTATCGCCGAAGCATATCAAGCGGGTTTAATTGGAAAAAATGCATGTGGCTCAGGATATGATTTCGATGTATTTATGCATCGTGGCGCTGGTGCTTACATATGTGGAGAGGAAACTGCTTTAATTGAATCACTTGAAGGCAAACAAGGAAAACCTCGACTGAAGCCTCCATTCCCAGCAGATGTTGGTGTTTTTGGATGTCCTACCACAGTAAACAACGTAGAAACAATAGCAGTTGCTCCCACTGTCATGCGGCGTGGTGGTTCCTGGTTTGCAAGTTTTGGACGTACACGTAATTCTGGAACAAAACTGTTTAACATTTCCGGTCACGTAAATAAACCCTGCACAATAGAAGAAGAAATGTCAATCCCTCTTAAAGAATTAATTGAACGTCATGCCGGTGGCATTCGCGGTGGATGGGATAATTTACTTGGAGTGATTCCTGGTGGTTCATCTACTCCAGTCATCCCAAAAAAAGTGTGCGACGATGTATTAATGGATTTTGATGGTTTAATTGCTGCTCAAACTTCACTTGGAACTGCTGCTCTTATTGTTATGGATCAGTCCACTGACATAATCAAGGCTATTGAACGTTTGACCGCATTTTACCGCCACGAAAGCTGTGGTCAGTGTACACCTTGTCGTGAAGGTATTATGTGGATGCACAAGATCATGAAGCGGTAAGTAATAATCAAGCTTAAAGGCGTTATTATTTGAAATATGTTTGATTTATGCTTTTTAGCTTTGTTGCTGGTAATGGTCAGCCTGGCGAGATAGATATGTTGTGGGAGATATCTAAACAGATTGAAGGGCACACAATTTGTGCTCTAGCCGATGGTGCAGCTTGGCCTGTGCAAGGTTTAATTCGGCATTTCCGGCCTGAAATAGAAGAGCGGATGAAGAAATATGCTGTTAGAGCAACTAATTAATCAACTCTTTAAACCTGAAAAGAAAATTAATAAATGCTTATAAATGTTGTAGATTAAAACCAGTTTCTATGTATTACTGGCGAAAAATAATGTTCGTTTTGTTTAACCTGCTACAGTACCCAGAACGCAATAGCGAAAGGGTAACTCTAGATTTACCAGGCAACTCGAGTTCTACGTCTGTGATGGGTGGTGGTTTCACTCCTAGTAAGCCATTTACTGAGAAGGAGTCGGTGAAGGTGTTGATAGTTACACTGTGAATGTCGGTCAGTGCTTGTTTAAAGTTCGCTGCGTCCGAAGTCTGCGTGCTGTCTAACGTCGTCGGCATAATCAAGGAAGGACCTCTTGATGTTCCTAGGAGGCAGTTCCGCTTCAAGCAGAATGTCGGAATTTTTTTTTAAATGTTCAGATCCAGTCTGTACTCCTTCGTCCAATTTGTGAAGATAGTCGCTGTAGATTTAGTGGGAGAGAGTGTTAGGTTCCTTGCAGAAAAGAAGCGAGAAAGATCGGAGAGGTAGCTGTTTACTTTTGAACACATGCCATTTCCCGACGTCAATATCGTACAGTCATCAGCGTACGAGGTCACTGAAATTCCCGCTGGTGGCTGGGGGAGTTTCGAAATATAAAAATTAAACAGTAGTGGGGAGAGGACACCACCCTGCGGAACCTCCTGTTTAACTTTCCTAAGTTTGGAGTTTTGACCTCGAAAAAGTACGGATGAATGCCGACCGCTCAGATAGTTCATGGTTCACCGCTTCAGTCCTGGAGGGAGCGTTGATTGTTCTAGGTCCTCAAGTAGCGTTGTTTGATTGACTGTGTAAAAAGCTTTTGACAGGTCCAACGCTACGAGGATCGTCCTCTCGCAGGGTGGCTTCTGGTTTAGGCCATGAATTATCGGTACGTTTATGACGCTTAGTGCTGTGGTGGTGCTGTGCACTTTTTGGAAGCCATGCTGATGGTCTGTTAGACTCAGGTGGTGAGTGAATGTCGGGAGTAGCAAGGTCTTAAGTGTCTTCACTACTGGGGAAAGGAGAGTTACCGGGCGATAGGACTCCCCTTTGTTGACGGGTTTGACAGGTTTTAGTAATGGGACCACTCTTCCGACTTTTTACACATCGGGTATTTGAAGAGTGGACATCGACAAGTTGAGGACCTTGGTGAGGTAGCTTACTCCCGTCGAACCTAGATGTTTAGCATCAGCATGCTTATTCCGTCAGGGCCAATGGACTTAAACGATTCGGCCTTTTTGATGTCACTCTGAACCTCCTCATCGGAGAAAGTAAGTGGTGCGCAGTCTTTTGGCGTTTTGCCCAGCCGTCGGGTAACTCATCGTTTGGCCTTGTCGGTCGAAGGGCTAAAATAGCTCGCGCACTTCTTTGAGTCCGAGGAGGCATGGCCATCGAATTGAATTTCAACCCGGTCGTCATGTCTCTTCGGATTAGACAAGGCCTTGACAGTAGTCCAAAGCTTACTTACATCGGTGGAGAGATTGCAGGACTTCAGGAGCGCTATCCATTTTGTCCTCTTTTGTTGATTTACCATTTGCCGAATCTCCAAATTGAGATCCCTTATTCGGGGATCACAGGGATCGGCATGGCGTAAGGTGTCGCGCTCGTTTGCTAATACTGCTGCTTCGGCCGGTATGAAGCGAGCAGTAGCAGCAGCGATCACCTTGCGGAATTGACGCTCGCCAGCGTCCGTAGGAATGGGTTGTGCATTGAAGGTGCTCTCAGTAAATTCTGTGAAGACGACCCAGTCAGCTTTGTTAAAGTTTATGAAGGTGCGGTTGTCCACAGAAATAAAGTCGGGAGGTTTCTCGATCGAGGTAATCATGGGCAGATAGTCTGATGCGAGAGTTAGCATAGCTCGCCAGGTAATGCTATTTATCAGACCACCGCTAGCGAAGGTAATATCAGACGAGCTATTACAGGTGCCCATAACTCTGGTGGGGGCTTCGTCATTCATTCTGCAGAATGTCGAATCGTCAATCTGTTCCGCCAACTTCATCCCCCTATGATCGTTTGACAGGCAGGAGTGCCAAAGATCGTGGTGTGCGTTAAAGTCACCTAGCACCAAACGGTTTTCACTACGAAGCAGCACACCTATGTTGGGGTGATATTCTGTTGGGCAACATGTAACTGGGGGGATGTATATATTAAATATCTCGAACTCGATATCGCCTGACTGGCAGCATGAGGTCACGTAACTTGTGGTCCACTCCTAATGGGTCTTAAGGCCTGAGCAGGTCTTAAGATGGCTCCATCCATTGTATGTATTGCACCTAATTGAGGTGGAGTTTGGATGGAGCCTTTTAGCTCATATGCAGCAAAAAAAATTCCTCGGGGCCCGGGTTGGACTCGATGCCAGCACGGGTCAAGAGGATACGGAGCAACCCTGCTGCTAGGTGTTGCTCTAAGGACAAGAAACTTAAACTAAAACTTACCGATCCAAACAGGGTTAGATCGTCGAACTAACAGCCCTTGGCCGGATAAAATCCGAGTCAGTTCCGGTAACGTAGAATCAGCTGTTGTGGGAATTGGCGAAAAATAATATTTAATACTGCTATATAAAGTTATTTCGCTAATTGTTAAGAAATAAAATTGGATATGCCAAGAAACCTTTCAAAGGTTGCAAGATTTACTTACCACATATATATGTTACAAGTTTACAACGCATACAAAATTAAGCAAAAAAAAATGCCGTTACTTTTTGTTATAATTTGTATGCGGGTATAATCATATAATAATAATAAGTGTTTGTTTCGCTTATTAACAATGGATAAAGCGCAAGTAAAATTTATGATATTCTCAATAAATTTTATATTTCAAAATGTTTGTTTAACACACATTTGATCGTTTTCCCCAAACGTCCACAGTTGATGACAGAAAGAAAAGTGGTCTTTCTCGCGTGGTTCGAGACAATTTAGCCATAAAAACTGTTCCCGAACGCATTCGCAGTAATCCGATTAGAAAACAAAAAATTATACCAAGGGAAATAAATATATCATCAAGATCAGCGCCAAGACTTGTTCGAGATGATCTCCACATGAAAGCATACCGTCGGTCAACTGAAGCTTGAAGGAAATTTGGCTCAACAGATGCAAGTAACTTTACTTAACTAACTTTACAGAAGAAAAATCTTTCTCTGTTGAAGAAGTTTTTAATATGCAAAACGACAAATCTACGCAAAAACTTCCAAAGACACAAAACATGTTATTTCAAGGGTTCAACGTGTTCACCATCCAGCTGCTGTAATGGTTTAGTGTGGACCACCACCTCTACACTTCTGTTAAAAATGGGTTAAAACTAGGTCGAAAGTGTACCACAGGATGTAAGAAGGAGTGGTAAATCAGTTAAGCAATACTCTCTTCTATGGAGAGCAATGGATTTTCCAGCAAGATTCGGCACCTGCACACAAGATAAGAACCATACAGCAGAGGATTAAAAACAATATTCGCTGTTTTATAGCTGCAAATTATTGGCTGTCTAGAAGTCCAGATTTGAATGCATTGGAATGAAGTCCAGGAATGAAAGATTTCAAATTATTCCAAAAATAAAATACATCAAAATAATAATGAAAAATGAGTGCGTAAAGTATATACAAGGCGCGTTTTAAAGTAAACAGGACTTTAAAAAAAAAAGACAGAACAAATGGTTTTATCGGCAAAATCAATTAATTTTATTCAAAATAGTCTCCTTCTGCTTTAATACAGCTTTTTGCACGGTCCAAAAGCATGTCGAACGAGTGTTTTAGCTCGTTGCCCGGTTTGGCCGCCAGTATGCCGGTGCAAGCCTTTTGAATGGCCTCCACGTCTGCATAACGCTTTCCTTTCATCGGCAAATGCACTCTGGCGTTTCGTTTCGGGATCATATTGAAAACACCACGTTTCGCCACCAGTCACAATCTTGTAAAGAAAGTTCGGGTCTTTTTTTGCCTCTTTAATGATGTCATCCGAATGTTGACTTCTGATCAATTTTTGGTCGTCAGTCAATTTGTGCGGAACAAACCGTGCACACACCTTTTGTAAGCCCAAATGTTCGGTCAAAATGCGATTAATCGATGTTTTGGAGATGCTCAATTATATTTCCATTAATTTAAATGATGATTTCGGCTGATTTTTTATGAATTCACGCACAGTTTCGATGGAATTTTCGGTGATCACGGATTTTGGTTGGCCCACATGTTCATCGTCATTTATGTCCTCACGACCAGTTTGAAAACGCTGAAACCACTCGTGCACTCTGCTACGGGATAGGCAATCATTGCCATAAACTTGTTTCATCAATTGAAACGTTTCGGTAAAAGTTTTACCAATTTAAAACAAAATTTAATGTTGGCTCTTTGTTCGAAGCTTATTTTGGAGCTTTGGGATGTCCAACTCTTTCCAGTGTGAGAGCGCCTCAAAATTAGCGTTTTTTTATAACATTTTCCATTGTAGCCAGATCGGAATTTAAATTAAAATACCCATCATTTATTAAGATTAAATATTATTATACATGTATCCGTTAAACATATGCAGAAACTTTTTATACTCTCTTTTTGTGATTTTGTGATATATTAAACAATTGATTTTTGAACTTTCAATACGTAATCAAAAGAATAAATGTATTAGGTTTCAATTAATAAATGTTTTTAAAAATTTTCAATTGAAAATCAATACCACTTAGCATGACATCACAAAAGATATCATCACATACATTTCAATTTCGCGTTGTCTTGCATTTTCATTGGTTTCTAATTTTTGTTAGTGATCTTCAACAGCAGCACAAATCTCTCTGTTTACATATTTTTCTGTAGGATTTTAATCTGGCCGTCCCTCTTTTTCCAATTGCTAAACGTCAGACCTACTGAACTTTGACAGTTGCTTGAGTTCAGTAGGTTTTGACGTTTATCAATTGCGCTCTCATTTCCAGTGAGAGACGAGTTGGGCATCTCCTAATCTCTGACAGAAACATACTGACACTTAAAACGCAATAACTTCACTTCCAATAGATGAAATGTCATGAAATTTTTACTGGAAGTCGATAAAGGATAGCAGATTCTAACGCACTAGTATATAGATGGCGCCACCAAAGTTTACTTTGTTACTTTTTTACTGTTTACTTTGGATCGCACCTTGTATACATATATATTTGCAACCATTGTTATGAAGGATGAGCTGAATGCAGAAGAAACTATTGATTGCGGTTAATGTGAATTTATTAAAAATTATATACAGAATATTTTGGTGGACCATGTAACGAGTTTTTTCCTTAGACAAGTAGTTTTTAATTTGGCAATACTTTTTTCGGAATTATTCTTTTTAACGGATGTTACTTGATTTATACTCAGTTTGGTTTGCCATTTTATAATGCACAGACTTACTCCGAAACAATGTTTGCAAGTTGTACACATTTAGTACCAAATAATGGTTCGGTTCGCCCAAAGCATAGCGCGCTCCGTCAAATATTCGGTCAGCATAATCGCCTAGTAGAATCGGTAATTCGAACAACCATGGATCAGTTTCGCACTACATTTACTCTATTGGAGAATCCGCATCGTCAGAGACGCCGTATAGTGCACACCGAAGACGCTATTGCTGTTGTGGGGCAGAGTATCGAATAAGACCCGAATGAGTTCTTCCGCCATCACGCACAAAAATTGGAGCTGTGCCCATCCACTTTACGGTAGATTTTGCGGAATGATGTTGGCTTGCGGGCTTACAAAATCCAACTCGTGTAAGAATTGAAGCTGAACGACCATCAGCCGAATTGCTGCAAAAAGTGGTCGAAAATTTAGCCTCTTGGTAGGAATTTTTTCGAGCCAGCAGCGGCGGTCACTTGCCCGAAATCATTTTTAAAACATAATGGCAAACGCTTATCTTTATAATAAAGCTAAATTCTTGGCCATAACATAAAATTATGTTAGCGTTTTATTCTAAAAAAAACATCATATACATATGGGTGGAGCGAAAACAAAAACTTTTTTGTTGCTTAGCCTGAGGGTAAAATCTGTAGATTATAAAATAAGAAAATTTTTGGACAAAAAAAAATTTTTTAACATCTAGAGGCACGCGCACTTAGTTTTAAAGTAAATTTTCGATTTAAAATTTTATTTCGAAAATTTTTTTTGATAAGTGTTCTAGAAGCTGTGGAGAGTCCTTTTTCTAGCCAATTAAAAGTTATCAACTTAAAAAAAAATTTTGTGGTCTTTAAAAAAAATTATTAAACGACAACATGGAAAGCATTTAAGCGTTAAAATAAATTTTAAGTCAAAAACCGTCACATTCGGCAATTTTTATATAAATGTAGAGTTTAAAACAAATATAATTTTTTCTTGTTCAAAAAAAATTTTAACTCGAAATTTACTTTAAAACAGATTTACTTTAAAATAGATGTTAATAAAACTTTTTTTTTGTCCAAAAATGTTTTTTTTTATAATCTACAGATTTTGCCCTCAGACTAAGCAAACAATTTTTTTTTCGCTCCACCCTAATACATATATACATAGAATAAATATAAACATATATATGAACATACGCTTATCCAAATAATAAAATAATAAAAAGTACAAAAAGAAAAAACTAGACTAAAGTTCTAAAATTAATATTTTGTGCATGCCAACCTTTTTATGATCTCTTATTTCATCACTTGTCTAAGCAGTGACACAAAGTTATCAAATAGGGGCTTCACCACACGCATAAATATACCATCTTAAATAAAGAAAGCATACATAATGTACACGAAAATCATAATAAAGAAGAAGCGCATTATACACTCAAGATCAAACTTTACTAGGACTGGCCATTTAAAGCCAAAGTCCAAGTCAAATCTGATCTTAAGCTTACACATATATGGTATTATATTAAAAGATGAAATTAATTCTCTTTTAACAATAATAATAATAATTTGTCATTGAAATAATATTGCGTAAATTTTACTCAACTAGAAATTCGAAGAAAAATCTGTATTCTTGACATTAAATCCGCAAATGATTGCTTTCACAATGTACACCTTAGGAAAATTTTTCTGAAACCATTTACCAACACAGGAATATTTTCCTTATATATTATATATGGTATACTTTTTAAGACACTCAAAGATAAGAATGCGATCATAAGGCTTTGAATGGTGAGCTAACATTTAAATTAAAAATTTTTCCTTTACGAAGTTAAGTCTATTTTCAGCTATTTAAATACTAAAATATATCATCAAGCATAAAATCAAAGAACCACCATATTGGACATGTGCATTTCCACCCCCAATTAAGAGAGGAAAGCAAAAGTCGAAAATTAATACTGAATTCATCGCAGGAGATCTATGTATATGTGTACGGGTATGTACATACATATGTATTATTTGGTAGCTTTTCCTTTCTGATGAGCTTTTCAAGTCTCACTAAGGGTAATACTTGGCACGAATTGGCATAAGAGTCCGAGCAAATAATGCAAGCTTTGGCTTAAACAGTCTTCCGCACAGTTCTTTTCAGTAACGTCCTGTATTAAAACAGATAATATGCTTGTATATTCTAGTTCTGTTTTGCAAGAACTTTAGCCTTCAGTGAAACAAAAAATATAGAAGGCCTCTACGTTTAAAAAAAAAAATATTATCTTTCCTGAAGTGAATTTCCGATCTATTAAAAAAGAAGCCTATAACCATATATGTAGAAAAGAAATTCTGTGCCTTTATATCTTTTTACTAAAACTACCTTTTCTGGATTTTTTTTAATTGTACTGTATATATGTATACAAGTATGTAATTTTTTAAATGCATCAGCGATAAAGGCATTCGATTTTGCGGAAAGTCATGAAGGCAAACGATTGAACTGTGTAATAAACCGCAGAAGTCAATTGAGTCTGGGAAACAGTGATTAACGAAAAACTTGGTAAGTTAGACAATTCACTTCGTTTCTTTTGGTAACACACACACTATGCGTTTTTATGTATGTATATAATGAACGTTAATTATATGAGTAATACAAACTTCAAGTATTAATTGCTTAATTCTTTAACCAGCAGCTGAAATTCGTTTTTAAATATATTAACGCAAATACCTTTTGTTATTACATGCATATATATATGTATATGCAATTCCAACAAAAGCCGGTTCTACACTACCGGAATTGGCTCGAATTTTACCGGGCAAAGGGATGTTATTTCGACGATCTAACCCTGTTTAAATCGGTAAGCCAGCAGCGTAGAGAACGGAGGATTTTTCTACCTGCTGCAAGGTGCTGCACCAATATCAAGTATCCAATACAAATCCATAAACAGAGAAGCATTCAAAACACGTACCTTTTGGGGGTGTTCAACACTCCCTTGAATAAAAGTTTGTCCTTGTTTGTTTCTTAGCCAAACACGTCTTAAGGGATTGAACAATGCAAAAGTTGACTCATATGTTAATATTACATTGTTCCAATTACGGTTGATGTTTTCCTGTGCCCAATGCTATCTTTTTTCAATCTGTGTTTTTGAAAAAAGGGTTTCTTCTAAAAACGAAGAACATAAGCTTTGTCCTCACCTTTAGATGTGAAGTTATTCCTCCCTCTTCCTGACTTGTCATCCACGTTTCCAGTTTCCGGTCAGACCACCTCTTCACAATTGTACAACTCGTATTTAAATAATTTGGGGCCTTTAGGATGCTTCATTAGAAAGCCTGCTTTTTAACGTTTCTTATACTGGGCACTCCTTTTTCTTATTTCACGGAACGACGTGACACATTACGAAGTTCGAAAATTACAGTGATAGCAATTAAACATATGTTAGTTTGAAAAAAAACAGTTTTTCGCGAATTGATAGCGCAAAGGAAAAACGTTAATTTTGAACGCACTGAATATAGGTACATATGAACCTATCATGTATTTGATATAGCCATGTCGAATAACGAAAAAGCCGATATAACGTAGAAAATACCAAACCTTGTTTTATTTACATTTTTATTTCTATATTTAAATCTCTATATATCGTCACAGACACTGTTTGTAACGAAACAATCCGGATAACGTTAAATGCGCTTTGAAGCGTGTTCCAGTAAAGATTCGAAAATATTTGCAAACATAAATAGAGTACCGAAAAAATCTCAGGTAAAATATTGGCAAAATAAAAACTAAGCTAAGATAACTGTATACACCTTTTTTAAATAAATGATCAAAGCGATAGAATTAAATTATTTTTTCCTCGAATATTAGTCGTTATATGTCCGTATAACGGAATTTCTTTATAACGTAAAAAAGTATACTATTGCACAAATTCAAAATACTAATTAAAGTAAAATTTTTCTCCAATTGCCTTTTCCAAAAAGGATAGGGTCTCCACTTTTTTGTTCCTACCACATTTAATATTTTAATATATCAATTTTTATAAAGCGAAGGTCCATAAATATTTAACTCAATCCCTACTCGAAAACTGCTTTTTTGGTTGTCTTCAAAAGATATTCCCTACAGTATACACTACTCAGCGGTTCATTAAATATACTTTTCTTTGGGAGCTTTGCTTAAACAGTTTTGTTTTACTAGGCAAGCCACCTAGGCCTTTGATCAACCGGCAAATATACATATCTGTTTCTGGAGTACTGTAGACACATAAAGAATATGTATCACGTATTTACACGGTCACAACAGCAGAAATACAAGTAGCTGTTTGTGTATTTGTATAGATAGTTTTTAAAGCAGAAACTGTGTGAAATGAATATACGTCTATCAAAACTTTTGGATTTGTCGAAGATTCTTTTGAGTTCCATGATTATTATATTTGCGTAGGTTCTCTACTTCCTTCATTAATTCAACATTGCATAATATTATTATATGTAGATAAGCTGTTTTCGTCAAGCGTTGGAGAGTAGTGAACCGAACACTTGTGTTGCAACACTGCACTAATTTATCCATTGACGCCTGCGCAATTATGTTGTCTTTACATATTTGATGACGATATTCTTCTTTCCTCAAAAAATATAATATTAATCTAAGCTCTTCCTCTTCAACTCTCGAGCCTTGAGTTTTCTATAAATAACTATAATTCAATTTAAGTCTAAAGTTTTGAAAATCAATAAAACAAATGCTTATAATATATTATAATTTTTAAAAGTAAGTTATCATATGAGCCATACAGATTGGTAAAACTGGTCTAAAATGTGTAAACTATTATTCCATACTTGGTAGCATTGAAGATAGCGTGGAAGTGGCAAATTGAAAATAGCTATACTACTACATAATTACTTATTTTTACTTCCTTTAATATGATATAATTATAAATATCAATATATAGCTAAGTCGTCTGACGACAACATTTTCCAATACAAGCAATTCGTATATTTTACCTATTGATGCCTTAAAGGAGGTCAATCACAAATATTATTAATTTCTTATTATTTCAAATAAACACAAAAACTCTAGTTAAAATATGGCCCAAAACCCGATTCTATTACTTTTGGTGACTTAATTGTATTAAACCGTTGAAGTTAAATAATAAAACGTGCCATTAAATATATACACCGGCTTTTCTCCGAAGAAGTTTATTTTAGTTCGAACGTTTTTTTCCCTATTTTATTCCAAAGTAAGAAAGTTCATTAATTTTATTGGGATATATCCCTCACTAACCTAAGTACATATATGTATGTAAAGTTTAAAATCATCCAAAAGGGTGAAATTTATTACATCTATTAGTAATTATTATATATTGAGGTTGGGATTTATATCAAGAGGATATTTATCACCCTGCTTTGAGCGAAACTATCGGCAATTTCGTTCTTAATTTTTTTATTCTAGCTCTTATACTCGATTTATGTTTTCAAATGTTATTGAAAAAAGGAATCGAGAACCTTTTTAAGAAAGAGTGGAGTTTTTTTTAAGACAAATTAATCTATAAAATTCTCTAGTAATTCGTTTGCCTCTCAATGTGAATTCCAATTACATTAATAAATACACCAATTATTTCAGAATTTTTTTTTTAAATATGTACTTAAAAAAACACAACACCCACATGCTTCCTTGGAAGTTGTGGCAAAAATGTCCAAATGTATCTAATTCTCTTAAAAAAACTGTAACAATTTACTCATCTTGTTGTCTATAAGTCCTTTGCATAAAAGTGGGCTTATGTAATCTACTAAAATTATATAAATTTTATCTTCCCGACAAGATTTATTATCTTATCGGTTGTTTATGTATATATCTATATAGGTGTTTGACAAGGTAGTAATCTTGGTCCGATTAGGTTCTTGTTATTTTAAAGTAATACACTGTCGATCCACTAACTGGGTTCACTATCTGGGCTTGGATTTTACTGTTTTTCTTAGTACCTATTAATTACATTTATTAAGAATGATAGAATTAGATACAACTTAATACCGTTACTTGTTTTGGTTTCGACTTTTACAGATGTGACATCAAAATAACATTAAAAATCCAGAAGAAAAAAAAATAAAACTAAGAAAAACAGTTGAAGTATACGGTTGTGTTTATTTAAAACTATAATTTATTAATATATTGTTTTTGGAAAATGTAGTATGAATTGTCGATTTGTAATAAAGATAGTGCAAATAAATCGTTAATGGAAAGTTTTTTCGTTGCAAAATTTCGTAAAAATAAATAAATTTCTGTAGAACGATATTTTTAGATTTTGTTACTTCAGTTTCAGAAAAATATATTAAACAATTATTAATACAAGTGCATATACATAAATTAGCTTAGAACAAAGAAAAACTAGCTTGAAATATCGTAATTAAGATAATATCGTAATAAAGATAAAAGTGCTTATTTAAAAATAGTTACAAACTGTATTACTACAATATGCGAAAGGAATACGCATGAACAATCAACCCACTTGTGAAGAATGTGCGCTAGTTTGAGGATCAGTATCAATTTATGCTACCAGAAACTTACAGTTTCTCACATCGAAAATGAACGTAATGACCTACAATACTGTTATTCAAAAGGCGTTTCCGAACTATTTTAATATTTTCCACACTACCTCTCCCTATTCAAACTGTATAGATGTTAAAGATAGGATTTGGGCTCAAAAAGGACATCTGTTCATATGGTCTCATATGCATACAACCTCAACATTATATACAATGTATGGCTGTTTCCGTGCAAAAAATACGAAGCAGGCAGACAAATTGATATTAATAATTATTTTTTTTTAGTTAACTCGACAATGTCTTTCTGAATCGTCGAAAATGTATACAATTTGCTATCTAAATTACATATACCAAATAAAGAACGATGTGCTAAAATACTTACATTAATTTACTTTTGAAGTTATTGCTAGTTTTATTATGTTAAACCTACATATTTTGTTGATACAACTATATTCCTAGTTGTAATATTCCAAGGAATCTTAAAAACATTAGTTGATGTGTTTTTCCTTAATATATGTCTGAATATCTTCTAATATTTGGTCCTGTATATAACATTGTTGATTCTAAGCTAAACTTAAATTCTAGTGAATAGTCGATGGTAAAAATAATTTTGAGGTCTACTGTCTTTACGACATTGGTGACACATAAGAATATTTAAATATGGTTCGTTGGTCAAAGTTTAAAGCTTCCTCGTAAGCTTTGTATAATATACTTAGTACAAATTTACTTCAATTCGTTTGTAAGAATAGGAACTGAACGAACCAAACCGTCGTTTATGTCATTATTTTAATTCCAACGCCACATTTTTCAGAATCACTTTTTATATTTTTTAACAAGCGCTGCAAGGTAATCGAGATAGATATAGCGTTATATATATCAAAAAAACAAAAAGTGTGGTGGCGAGAAGGGTGGATTTCCGGATAGACATAGACAGACGTCTGTCTGTCAGTCCGTCCGGCTACCTGTGCTTGGAACAGGTTGAGAAAAAATGTAGATGTTCCTTGTTAAATACTATCAAAAAGTTGGAATAGT